CATTTTCATAGGTCATCGCGGACCGTTCCAAGGCTCCTTTTCAGTTTTCATACTCTTACACTCCATATCCCGGAGATGGAGAGGGCATGGGTGGCGAAGAATGCGTTTGTCGTGGGACATTTTCTTTGAGATAACTGTCATCCTCGGTCGTACTGGTACAGAAAAAAGATGTTACTAATTTGTCTTGAAACGGTAGATTCTCGCCATAATTGTCACCACAAGTGAGCAGCCGCGCCCTACTCATTTCCTGGATATGAGTGTACTTCCCATTTGAATCCTCGTTTACTTTATTGAATTGTGTGGGATAAACAGTAACTTCCAGGTTATGTGCGGTATGGTTGGCACAAAGCGGTTCAAATTCGATGTCTTTTCAAACGATGTGACGTTGGCCAACGAAATGGAGTCGACTGGAATCGCTGGGAGGTAATTCTAGTTTGAGATGTTTGAATTACTGGTCTTTTTGATTGTATTGTTGTCAGAGTTCACGTATCGGAAGCGACTGCCAAGTATCTCCGAGAGGATTACATACTGGAAGATGGGCCTGACTACGACGGTAGGCCATTGCTTTTCCTTCTCTGACGCGGCGACGTAATCTTGGCGAATTTTCTATAACTGCACCCGCGGATAGCGAAGGAACGGACAGAAATAGATGGATTGGTGCTTGTTTGGCGTCCCAGAGGCATCGTGAAGTTGTTAGGCCAGAAATCATTTTTAGAAAGCTGTCTTCGCAAGAAGAATGGGTTGAATTCCTTTAAGCAAGCATGCGTGCCTGGAATCCCCTAAGCTCTTGTAGATAAGAGTGTTTAGCGGTTCGTTAAAAAGGGCCGATAAACTCGAGAGTTTAAGAGGTTCCTAGAAAAAAAAACGTAGAGAGAGAAATAAGGAGACAGAGAAAAAAATTTCACAATATTCCTTCAGAAATATAGTTGTAACATTGCTTTGTCGGGGGCGGCGAGCGCAGCGCGGCACGAGCTCGCGTCCGGCCGCCTTGCTCTACCAATGGTGATCGAGCAATGATCGATGTAGGAAGGAATCAGCCACTGGTGGGAAGGCCGCAGGTGGGAACCGCTGATTGCGACCCGACAGGTCGCGGTGATATAATTAATGTATTGCGTGCCTAGTTCCCACTAAAAACCGCTATTATCAACTACTAGCTCTTGTTTATGAGATTCTAGGGGTAACTGATAAAAAGTATCGGAGTATGGTGCTGTCCCGGAGTCTCATTACTCATCTGAATGTGTATTAACAATGTGAAACTCCAAAAGTTTATTCCAAAAAACTCAAAAGACAGCAAAAGTCTCAAAAGTTTTTTAAAATATATCTTATCTGGCTATATTTCGGTGCGTAGCACCTTCTTCAGGCCTGAAATTATTTAGCTTGTTTTATGCAGAATATAAGCCTACAGAGATGTAACCCGCACGGACTCCCCCCCATACGAGGCACTTACCGAAATATCCTGGCAAATTAGCCAACCCACCCTAACCACACCCTTAAATAGTGGGATGTGACGCGATCACATTATGACTTGCATAATGTCACGTAGTTCCTCCCTATTGTTTATTTGGGGTGTTAGCCGTTTTATTTCCAAGGCCTCCAATATTTTCCTTTCCATTGCGCTCTCTACCGAGCGGTGTAGTACTTTGACCATTAAAGAGGGGGTTCCTGGTGAGCGTGCTCCATTATGCGATGCCGGGAGAAACTGCTATTAGGGTAAGAAGGTGGATTTCCCAGCGCCCTCCGGTGTTCGTCGATCCGTTTGTATAGGGGCCTCCCAGTTTCTCCCACATATTTTTGCCCGCATCCTTGACATTCCACCAGATAAACTGTCCCCCTGAGTTGACAGATTTTAGAATCACTGCAGTAACTACAGCCTGCCCTTCCACATTTATCTTCATAAGGCCTGGAAAATGTAAGGAGGCGTTTTAAATTTGGTGGAGGACGAAATATTAGGCGTATAGGAAGTGGTGAGCACTTTACAATATTATTTACTTTTAATGCCGTGCTTTCATTGAGGTAAGGTAATACCAAGGGAATTCCGTCCGCCGTGGAATGCGGTTTCCATGTATGGGTGCGGGTGCTTGTATACCCATTAATATATGAATGAAATGGGTATACAAGCAAGGCCTTATGAAGATAAATGTGGAAGGGCAGGTTGTAGTTACTGCAGGGATTCTAAAATCTGTCAACTCAGGGGGACAGTTTATCTGGTAGAATGTCAAGGATGCGGGCAAAAATATGTGGGAGAAACTGGGAGGCCCCTATACAAACGGATCGACGAACACCGGAGGGCGCTGGGAAATCCACCTTCTTACCCTAATAGCAGTTTCTCCCGGCATCGCATAAAGGAGCACGCTCACCAGGAACCCCCCTCTTTAATGGTCAAAGTACTACACCGCTCGGTAGAGAGCGCAATGGAAAGGAAAATATTGGAGGCCTTGGAAATAAAACGGCTAACACCCCAAATAAACAATAGGGAGGAACTACGTGACATTATGCAAGTCATAATGTGATCGCGTCACATCCCACTATTTAAGGGTGTGGTTAGGGTGGGTTGGCTAATTTGCCAGGATATTTCGGTAAGTGCCTCGTATGGGGGAGTCCGTGCGGGTTACATCTCTGTAGGCTTATATTCTGCATAAAACAAGCTAAATAATTTCAGGCCTGAAGAAGGTGCTACGCACCGAAATATAGCAGATAAGATATATTTTAAAAAACTTTTGAGACTTTTGCTGTCTTTTGAGTTTTTTGGAATAAACTTTTGGAGTTTCACATTGTTAATACACATTCAAAAAGTACATTGTTAAAAAAGTATTATCAGTTGCAAGCTTTTTTTATAAGAGTCCAGGAGTAACCCATAAAAAATACCTTGTTAATGAAAGAAGTCTGGAGAGGTAAAGAAATGGTTTGATATTATCCTCGAAATAACTGGATTGATGGGCGAGGTGAACCCCAAACTACCTTCTAATTTTTAAGGCAGTCCTCTCGCTCAAGCAACTTGTAGATGTCCTCCCTTCTACAAGTGGTCTGGCTCTCAATCTCTAGGATCATCCCATTTTCACGGCTTTACAGGAAGTAACGAAAGCGCTGCGGCCCGGCAGTTCTAACGCCTCCGTAGTTGCTCCGCCCACCAAAATCCAAACGCTGTTTTCTGTCGCGAGTTCAGTTTTTGCACATCATTTTTGCTTTTTTCACTGTTAGATGGTATTAGCATTGGATCGGGCGAATGAAAGGATCAATGAGTCAGAGGTGACAGGATATCGCTTTGTTGACATAAACGAGCAGGTTTGGAGATTTGGTCCAGAGAGGTTGCCAGACCCTTACTTAGGGTATTCCCATGATTTTTTCGCATTTTTTCTCTTGGAAAGTCATTTAGCGACCATAGGTATGGAATTGAATGCCACTGTTGACAATATACAATCGCGGATTTTGTCTTTACAAATTTTTATTTGACAACCCGCACAAAAGCTGAAAATTGTCACGTGAATGGGAGCTCGCGTCCCATCACCCCCGAAATGAGGCGTAATTTTGAAATACCTAGGAATTTGAATCAAAGACACTTTCTCAGAATATTCAAATTCCAGGTCCGCTAAGAATGCAGGTCCAGGGCACAGAGAGACGTGTGAAGCCAGCAAGTGAGGTCTGCTAGTCCTTTGTTCAGAAAGGCCACTTTTTTGATACATAATATTCTGTTTGAGGTATGAAAACATACTTCATCAAAGGAAGACTCCGGGAGTCGATAGACGATGGCCTCGACACGGGAGTATCAGAACGTGAAGCTGTCGTTCAGAAAGTGACCCCAGTTAGCTCTGCTAAGCCGAAAACTGGTTTCAAGCAGGTAGGGATAGCTTGTTAACAATGACGGCTTTGATTACTTGATGGTATAGCATAGATTAATAGAATGGTTTATAACGATAATTATAAAAAGGAATTAAAACTCAAGCCATATCCACAAAGGTATCCCGTATCATTTTTTCAGTTGGGTTTCTCAATATGTGGATGTCCACTTTTACAGTAAGCCTATGAACATCGAACAGCAGAGGAAAAAAATCATATCAACACCCCAAATTTTCGTTCAGTCGACGGCTTTGACGGGTTAATCTGTCGCAGACCTTTGAATCGCCGTAACTCCTGCAGAAATCGTCCAAATGGTCTGCAAATTGCCCAGCTGATAACCCTTGGTCATAGCAAAGCGTTTAAACTTTTTCTCTTGAATTATAGTATTCTTCGCTGCAGTCGCTTGGGTGTGTTAGAGGGCGCATTTGGCGCAGCGCCAGTCCGTTTTCCACCAACTGTTATCAATGGGTTTCTTCAACAATCAGTGAAGAACGCACCGAACTCAACTCCATCT